GATCTGTAGACCTAAAAGAAGTGTCTCTTAAAATAATAAGGAAAAAGTTTTCATGCCACAGAATTGCCTATACAGCCAAGAAATCCAAGACCAAGTAAACATGGATAAACAAACTTTGACAGCAAGCGAACAAATTTACCTGAAATGCCACACCAATGCACTCCCCTTGATCATTGAATGCGGGTCCACCACTATTACCTACAATTTAGCAAAGTATAAGCAGTGGCTATGATAAATATGCAATATGAAATATGTCATATAAAGAAGAAGGATTGTAATCTTGAGGCAACTAAGTGCTTCCTGAAGAACAGAGTGTTATAATTGTAAATTTGAATCATAGACTGACCAGGATTTATTGCTGCATCAATCTGAATGCCCAACAAATCAGATGACCCATGAGCATATGACGTAACCTGAGGATATTAATAGTGAGAAACTTGATGCCCTATATTTATGTAACACATCTTAATTTGGACGGCATATTTATCTTTTAAGGACATCAACCGATTATCAGAACCATATCCATCAGCAAGTAATAAATCATACAAGTCCACTCAGGTAAGGAAAGCCAAACCTCTATACGCGATACAACCCCCTTTGTTACTGAAATGGTATCTCCTCCAAGGGGATATCCTACAACAGTCACTGCTTCCTGTCCAATATAAAAACCACAGATACAACACTTAAAGGGGATGAACCATTGTGATGTTATAGAAGAAGTGTAGAAAATTCCAAACTTAGGTATAACAACCTCAACTTCTGCAGTTTCAGAAATAGTAAAGCTACATTGTTTTGAGGGGTAAGGTAAGGGATGAGTTTTATTATATCATGTCATATTTAAAATCTTAGATTTAGATCACATGGGCAGTCAGTTGATATCGTAATACTAATATATTTAATAATAGGTTTGAATATAGCGGGTGCCCATGCCCTCTAAAATTTGAAATTTGAAATTAGTTTCTTTTGACACAATGTTTGCAGTCACACTCCCTATGCTCAACAATTAGTATTCCAAATGAAACTATCTCAATATAAATATATATATGCGGTTTTTTTGGCAAATATTCTCTTCTGTATACCAGAAAATAAATTCTTGCAACCAACTAAAACATCTAAACCCAAGCCTCAGAAAGTTTGTTTGTTCATGTTAGTTTCTAAACTAACTAGATAGGAGTACTTTAAACCTGAAGATGTGGCAAGCTTCCCAATTGGAGTGGTTCTGCCCCTTTCCAAAATTCCTCACTTTCTACTGAAAGTAAAGCTATATCACAATCAACACCTCTGGCCAAAACCTGCATATCAAGTCACTAATAGTAAAGCAATATCATAATCCCCACTACTGATAATAAGTTGCAACATCGTATTTATCTCCAAGATATTGAGCCTCGCTATGTTAATTTTCTGAGGGTGAAATACCTTAGCCACATATTTGGTATCATCCCCTCTTCTCTTCACTTTAACCTGCATTCGTAGAGAAAGAATAAAAATAAATAATCGGACTGGACCTCTTGCCTAAAACATCATTTTGTATATAATACAAAAAAAGTAATTGTATCCTTCACTTTCCTCAATGCAGACTTTCTTCGCCGGTCATGTTTTCCATACATATTATAGATAGAGATATGATTGTGCTTATGAACCCTCAAGGAAAAACACATAAAAGGCAACATATAGAACAAGTGTGTATGTGTTCTAAAGCCAAAGTTGATATACTTATGACAAATGCGCTTAGAAGGCTAAGCCTATTCACTGACTAGATAAGTAAATGACACTTTTGTACCTTTCTACTGACTATTGACTAATACGGACAACAAAGTACCTGAGTATAATGCTCAACACAGTGGGCATTTGTTAAGAGTTTCCCGTCACCAATCATAAAAGCACTGCATTAAAGATTCAGATTATAAGTTCTTTAAAACACACACCCACATGGGCTAGTGAAATGAGTACGAGGATAAGAGTTCAAAACTTGCCTGCCTGTACTTGTATATTGTCTTTGTTTTTGCCAGGGAAGGGAGTAGTCAGGCGCGGTATGGGTGCAGTAAACCTAAACATATAACTGTTATCTACAAACCGAGTGGACAATGAATTCAGCAGATTTTGATATTTATGTGATAGGATTGACAAACACCACACTCCCACAGCTCAACAATATAACAATGAAAGGCAAATAGATTGTTTTAAAAAAGACAACAGATATTTCAATTGGGAGCTTATATTACAATATAGAACCCACAGACCGAACAATAACATTGACACTGACAGAGGTATTCATACCTTAACGACAGCATTAAGAAAATCAGCATCCTGAAGGCTCCTCGGTTCAACCTGAATCAAGTACAATCACCTCATGAAGATAAAACCAAATTTTCAAATTTAAATAAAAAGAATTTCAAACAGTGAACAGTTTTTTCAAAACTTGACTGTAAATTTATAACACAAACTAATCCTGCAATTGAATCATGAAAAGGAATTCAGTGCAACAATTATCAAACCTGTTGCTCTTTTTGATCAACTGCAAAATCTTTCTTCTCTTTTCTTTGCGTTCCAAATGATCTATAAGCCGTTGGTTGAGACTGTCCCTTCTTCCCTCTACCAGTAACACTCCATCTATCACCATTTCCGCTCAACTTATTGGGAACAGCTTCTTTCTGCATTTTCCAAACCAATATTAATATTATTTAATCAATTATCAAGAAATTTACACAAACAGTAGTGCTTAGGGTTTCACCTCTGGTTGGGATTTAGCAGATGACGACGATGAGCCTTTTCTTGAATTGGAAGCTCTTTCTCTCTTGCTTTGACTAACAGGTTTAAGAGCGTGGCCATTGCTTGACCAAAGCGACCTGGCGAAGCAGGGTTGGATGGAAACAGAAGAACGGAATTTAACGGAGGAGGTGAGTGCAGAGAAGCAGCAGTTGCCGACCGCAACGGCCATTTGAATTAAAGCTCAGCTCACTGCTAAAAGAAGAAGGTTGGGAAGACGAAGTTACTCTTTTATAGGACCGCGCAGCGTTTCCTTATCCGTAAATAATTGGACTTTTTCGGGCGTGGGTCTGAATTTTGGCGCCTAAGGGTTTACTTCGAATGGGAGATTTCAGGCCCCATCTATCTTTGGGCTTCAGCCCAAGCTCATTCGATAACTTGGGCTTTAAAATGCATATAAAAAAGCCCATTTGAAAAAGCCAAAAGAAAAGGTTCATTACCTTTGCCTCGGAAACATGACGAAATGTAACGGCTCAACACACGTGTGGGCTTCTGAAGTGGCTACTGTTGTCGGGGCAGGACGGTGATGGAGCTGACTTTTCCATAAATGCCCCGCATGCTTTATAGGACGTGTCGTTCTCACCGTCTTAATTGCTCCTGTCCGTTCGTGTAATTTTCGCGGGGCCTCAAACAGTTTTGATCTGCTGCTACTCCGTCTCCGTTACCTCCATTTCTTTCTTTCTTTCTTTCTTTTTATTTTCTGATTTTCAAAAATAATATGAAAGTGTGTAGAGATAAATTTATTTATTTTTGTTAATCGTATTGATATTAGGACTTTAGTTTAACACTAACCTTGGATTGAAGCATTATTTATACAACATTGAATTATAAGTGTAGCCTGAAACTATGTTATATTTCATTTCTTTTCTGATTTTCAAAAATAATATGAAAGTGTGTAGAGATAAATTTATTTATTTTTATTAATCGTATTGATATTAGGACTTTAGTTTAACACTAACCTTGGGTTGAAGCACTATTTATACAACATTGAATTATAAGTGTAGCCTGAAACTATGTTATATTTTCCTATGTAAATACTTCTTCCTTAGTATGGCATTATATAAATTTTGGTGTAAAGTTTGCAAAAGTCTATAAAGTCCCCAACATTAGAAGAAGATAAATACTTGCCATTTTAATGTTACTACCCAATTAATATTCAGTGTTTTTTGTTTTGTTAGTGGTACATATATATTAATAAGTATGCATTTGAATGTCCTAATCGTTAATGGTTTAATCACTTTGTAATTAGTCAAATCCAAACATTCATCAATGGTCATTTGGAGATCCCTTGTCAATGGATTGGATTTTGATATGAATTCAATCTAAATTCGGTGACTTGGACTTCTCAATCCGATAATTCGATTACAATCCAAATCCGTGAATTTGATTATAAATGGATTCATATATGAATTATATGTGTAAATGAATAATTTTAGTTTTATAGCACTAAGAATACACTTTAAAAACTAATTGTAAAGATAAAATATCAAAAATTGATATAAAAAAGTAGATAAAAACAAGAAAAGAACAATGGCACTAATTAAATTTTGAATTTTTTTTATAAGTACATCTCAAAATAAATCCAATAATAATATGATCCGTCGAATCCAATGAGTAACATATATGAATTGAGAGGTGCAATCCAACAATCCGAATCCGATAATTTGATTATAAAAAGATTTTGATTTGGATTAAGGTATATTTGATCTAAATCTTATCCGTTTACATGATTAATATTATTAAAAATGAGCCAAATATAAAGTGTGGGACAAATTCATTAGCATCATGAACATTCGTTGGATTGAGTTTGTTGAAAACAATGTTTCTTCTATTATTTGACTAGTACCATCAAATACCAAATAAGAAAATGTTTCAAATTATGAGACTACATTGCATGATGAGTCCCCACCATAGTTTCTATATTCTCATTAAAGAATGATAATGTACCAAATTTTTGGATGTTTTATTATTTATAATAATTTATTATGTATATTAAATCACTGGAAGAATTTATGTTTCGCCACTTTGTTGTTTCAGTCAGTGATAGGTTTACCAGCTAACAAAGGGAACATACGACACACACTGAAGCCGAGCCGGTCTAATTAAGCCAAACTAATCCACGTGGACCATGGTTAAGCGACGCTTGCTCTTCATGCAAAACAAATACGAATTTAATTACAGAATCAAGTCCATGATTATTTGTTCTTTCTTTCGTTCTTTATGGTTTTCACAAGACAGGCGGGACCCAATTTCTCCTAAATCGACGGGCAGTGTTGCGACACGTAAGTAAAGAAAAAAGGTGACGGAGAGAGAGATGACAAATGGGCGAGATGCATGAGGCGAGGGCATGCACTGCAGGGCAAAAGGAGCGCATCGAACTCATCGGCGCAAAGTAGCAAACACCGCCAGCCAGCATAGCAAAGCAAACAATAGTACACTACACACTTGAAGCAGCACAGACAGAGACCCAAATTAAACGAAAGAGTCTAAGAGAGAGAGAGAGAGGAGCAAAAAAGGAGGCCTGGCAGGTGCAGGTGTACCAAATCACAAACACACACATCTTCAACGCGTCTACATACATCGAATGGTGCCTGCACTGCACTGCAGCCTATCTTTCTCTCTCTCCTCTAGCTCGCTCGCTCGCTCTGGTGCACAACAACAACAACGAACGACATCCAGTTTTTGCACTAAACGTTACAACGACATCACGCTGCTCACGCTGCTTGCTCACAGGAGCCTCTTCTAGAGAGAGAAACGCTGAAACGGCCGGGTGTGGAGGTGGGAATTGTGATACTTGCTAGTGGAGAGGAAGAGAAAGTGTGTGTGTGTGTGTGAGAGAGAGAGAGAGAGAGAGAGAGGGGTTAAAGGAAGTTAAGGAAGGCGACACATTAACGCCATTAGGTGGACGCGGTACCTGATTAATTCTTAACGCCTATTTATCCTGATTCTCCCTCCCTCCCTGAACTTTCCTCTTCTACTTATTTTCACCCTTTTCTAATTTTCTCGCTTTCTTCTTCTTCTTCTTCTTCTTTCTTCATCTTCCGCAATATCTTCTTTTTTTCTGTTTTGGTTCAGAGGCGGAGAGAATTGATAAATAAATAGACATGGCGCCGAGGACGACTGCCGGTGTAGAAGGCTTGGGGCCCACCACCGTCAATATTGCCGAGAGAGAAAGCAGCGGATGCAGCGTTGGTTCAGCCTTCCCTGCTGATGCTGCTGCTGCTGCTGCTAACATGAATAAACGAGGTGGACGACCTGAACCAGTGACCTCTTGTTTTTTCTTATTCATTTTTTTGTTCATTTTTGTGTTGAACTCTGCTCGTAGAGAAAATTTGTAACTAAGCTCTGTTTTAGTCTTGGATTTTATTTTTTTCCACAGTAAAATGAGATGCGTTGACCATTAATAATTTTTAATGGTGGATTTAAAAACTATTCCATTTTTGGGTTACTGATTCAGAAACGAATTCTACAGTGGGCATTTTGATTTTTCGGAGGTAGCTCAAGGCATGTTGCATCAAATTTTTATGATGAACATTTAGGATCTTCAACTCTCTGTATATTGTGGCCTGTAACAAGTCTCATTTCTGAAATGGCTTCTCAAATTCTTATGGACTTTTCACTTTAGCGGGTCCTCATGGTTTGATTTTCACCCCCCGCCCAATTTTGCCTCGGTTTGTTCTTATGTTTTCAATTCTGGTGTTAGGTGAGAAAGATGATTCGTACACTCGACTATGGCATGCATGTGCTGGTCCTAATGTTTATGTTCCGCGCCCCGGAGATAAGGTTTTCTACTTCCCTCAAGGTCACATGGAACAGGTTCTCTTCTCCCTCACCTCCTTCATTACTATTTCTTTTATGGCACTTTTAAGGACTCTGTTTCTTCTGTCTATTAAGCAAATTGTGAAGTTTTCATGCTCTTTCTATTTGGTCCTGTGCCCACCTTTTAGATGGTCCCTAAATTTCAATCAATCCCTTCAATTTATTTTTGTCTGAGGTCCAAATAGGTAACATCTTTGCCTGTTGATCTAGAGTAGGTCGAGACATATGCAAACGAAGATGGCAAAATGGAAATGCCAATTTATAATTTGCCTTCCAAGATCCTCTGCAATGTTGTCTGTGTTCTGCTAAAGGTAAATTGCTCCTCTCTGCGTGTGTTTAACAAAATGTGATGGGTATACTTTTAAAATTGTGTCTGGACTAGAAAATTGAATTGCTTACAACCTATGAGAATTTATTAATTTTTGAATGACTCATTTGCAGGCTGAAGTTCACACAGATGAAGTGTTTGCTCAAATCACCTTGATTCCTCTGACTAAGGTTAGCTACTGAGTGCTGAGATGACCTTACTTAGGCCTCATAAGAACTTACAAGAAACTGATATTATTTATTTTTGAAGCCTTAATTTTTTTTTGTATGGCTCATAATTTGAAAAGTTTACATTATTTCACCTGTTCTGGAATTTTTACATTTGATGATAATCACAACATATGCGTACTGCCTTGGCACCTTGCAGCAAGAACAGCTAAGTTTAGATGAAGAAAATAATCAACCCGTGCCTCAGAGCACCAGTACACGCTCCTTTAGCAAGACACTCACCCCATCTGACACAAGCACTCATGGTGGATTCTCTGTTCCGAAACGACAAGCTGATGAGTGCCTTCCACCCCTGGTTGGTTTTTATTCTGATGGCTTTCCATAACACCCATTAGAAAATTTATGGCACACATCTGCTAAGCAGTCAATTAACCAATTCAATGTGATATAAGTTGAGGCTAAGTTTAAATGAGGCATATGGGGATAAATGCCTTCATATATTTGATTTTGGCTTCTCTTCTTACTGTTTCTTGGGAAAGATATGAAAATCTCAGAACCTAGTCAACCTAGTAATCCACTACTCCTTCTCAAGTGACAAGAACTATGCTCGCATGTTTGGTACTTTGGATTATGCAAGTGTCATAGGAAATCTTGTCTCAGATCTTCACCTTTTGCAATTACCTCTACCTCATAAGATTTATATAAAATGCTAAGGTTTAGAAGCCAGTTCCTTCACAAGTTATAGATGTTTTTGCAGGACATGTCTCAGCAACCACCAGTACAAGAACTCGTCGCAAGGGACTTGCAGGGATTTGAGTGGCACTTTCGCCATATATTTCGCGGTATCTTCAAATTTAGACACTCTCAAACTTCTAACTGTGGAAGTAGCTTGAGCATTATTATTAGGACTTACAGAATCAGAAACGGATGCATGACACTTGAATTTGTTCATTGTGTTCGACATTGCAGTAATATACTTATGGATGCATTTCTTTGATTATTTCAATATATAGGACATGTTTTTCTTTCAGAAATTTAAAATTCCTCTCATCATGCATAATGGACCAACCTACAAATAAATGCTCACTAATGTAATTGCATTTACAGTTGCAATTTTATTTATGATTATCCTTCTTAAGTGTGGCGAACACTTATAATTCTCATGCATGTTTCTGCCTTAACCTTCTACATTGGATTCATCATATACGACCAATCTTAAATTTATGCTGCATCTCCCACAATGTAGGTCAGCCAAAGAGGCACTTGCTTACCAGTGGTTGGAGTACATTTGTGACTGCAAAAAGACTTGTTGCTGGGGATGCATGTATCTTTGTCAGGTAGTCTCTCTTTCTCTCACGTAAGTTAAAGGGTTAATTAATATATGTATTAGTTATCTGTCTTCACTTTTAGTTATCTAATGATTGTACTTCTTGCTTCAGAGGAGAAAATGGAGAGTTGCGTGTTGGGATACGCCGTGCGAACAAAAAACAGGACAATGCATCAACTGCTCTCATTTCAGGCCACAGCATGCAACATGGCATACTTGCCAGCGCATTCCATGCCAACTCTACTGGTACCTTGTTTACTGTGTACTATCGTCCATGGTAAGCTATTTGATTCTGCGAGCTAATAGGGTTTAGGTTTAATATCAGTATCACTGGGTATACACATATTCTAAGGTTTTAAGCATGCCATCTTTTTATGCATATGCAGGACCAGTCCTGCTGCATTTATAATTCCTTATGATCAATACATGAAATCAGCAAAAAATGACTATTCTATTGGTATGAGATTCAGAATGTGTTTTGAAGGTGATGAATGTGCAGAGAAAAGGTAATCAAGCCTTGGCTTCTGAGTGCAAGAATGGATGGATAAAAATACTGTAGACACTGTTAACAACCTACCTTTTCCCCCTAAAGTGTCACTGTCATGGTGTTTTGACTGAATGTGGTTATTGTATGAACCAGATTGGCGGGTACTATAATAGATATTGAAGATAATGATTGTATCAGGTGGCCCAGTTCAGAATGGAGGTGTCTGAAGGTACCCAAGTTCCTTTTCTAATCATCAAAATCTCAAAATCTTCAAACTGATACATAATTATCTCATTAATTGATCTGTCCATCCAGGTCCAATGGGATGCCTCATCAGATACAAACTTGCATCCTGAAAGGCTTTCTCCTTGGAATATCATGCCTCTCCAACCTAATAAGAGAGCACATGTTCCTGATCTGATATCACCTGGGTTTCCTAACTTGGCCACGAATGGTCAGTAACTCTCATATACCTCCCTGTGGAAAGTTTTTCTAGATTTCAGAAAAAGCTTCCTTCGTCAACTCAGTTTTAATGATATATCCAATTAAAGTCAAAATTAATCAACTTATCTCTCTTGTTTTCTTCATAGGCTTATTGCCAATTCCAGTTGAGTATACACCTCCAAGACAAAAAAAGGTCTTTCAAGGTCAAGAAATTAGTGACCCACCTGCTCATGAACCGGGTACACAAAAACCACCATTACTACCGCAGTTTATTCCACCATCAAATCCTGACTGGAACCATACACAATTGGGATTGGAAAACAATCCATTGCATGACCCACTTTATCAATGTCCTGGCAGTGCAATAGCTCCAAGTCTCACTAACCAATGGCCACCGATATTTAATTTTGGAGTCTTGGACAGTGTCGCGTTTAGAAGAAGCATGTCAGTTCCAAATATCAAATCCTCTGGGTCCCAGGACTCGAGGGCCTTCAAACCAAGGAGTGAGATTGAAGCGCCACTTGTCCAACCAAATAGCCGTGGTACAACCATGCTGTTTGGAGTCAATATAGTTACTAGTCACCCGGAGCTCCCTTCACCACAAGTTGTCACTTCTAGTGAACTTTTTAGTCCTTGTTCTATTACTCCAATATCTCAGTCGAGTGTTTCTGAAACTATCCAGATTTCAGAGACATCTAAGAGTGTTTCTGGTGTTCTTTCTGCGAAACAATGCAATAAATGTTGCTCTGTCACTAACAGGAGCTGCATAAAGGTACATTACATATAAAACTTCTTCTAGGTTGTCTTTCCAAACAAGTTGAAGGAAACATTTATGCTAATTGAATTATCTTTATTGTTTTGCATTCTAAATTATTCAATCACCAAACTAGAATTTGATTTCATGCACCTTGAAAGATGCATCTGTGTGTTTAGATAACGAGCAACCTTCCAACTAGTTTCTACAAACTTCCAAAGAGCTGTGTCTGGTGGTGATTTTGCTTTGTTGAAGTTATATGGTCAAGCGTAGTTACTTGTGATTCAGGTCCCTTAGAGGGCACATGAATAGGCATTCTTATTACCTTCAAGTTGCATTTGTAGGATAATGATTCAATGTGCAGATAATGTTAAACAACTAGTATTTCTTCTTCTCACCTCCTTATAATGGTTGAGTTGATTGCTCAAGCTTAACCTTGTCAAAATTTCAACGCTCTTTCAGGTGCTCAAATATGGAGCTCCTGTTGGAAGGTCAGTGGACCTCACACGCTTTGATGGGTATGGTGAACTCATTTCTGAGCTTGACCAGATGTTCGATTTCAAAGGAAGCTTGATCGATGGAAGCAGTGGGTGGCAGGTAACCTACATGGATGATGAAGGAGACATGATGCTGATAGGAGATTACCTGTGGCAGTTAAGAACTAGAACTCATACTGTGACTCATAGTTTGCCATTTCTGATGTGCTGTACAAATCTGATCTGCTATCGGTCTTTACTAATTTGGTAATCATGTTACATATGCAGTGAATTCCAGTCCATGGTGCAAAAATTGTTCATCTGTCCAAAGGAAGAAATCGACAGACTGAATCCAGGCTCGCCAAATGCAACATCCCTCTAATTCTTTGCTCTGAGGTCATTTGTGTTTATCTGTTCATATGAGGGAGTGTGAGACAGAGACAGAGACAGATGGTATCGACGAAAATGTCTGCATGAATAGCTATGTCCGCTTGTGCAAATTTAATTATCTAGTGTAGCTGCAGTTTGCACATTATCTAAATTTAGCCAAAAACATAACTTTGGTTGTTTGTTCTGAAGGATGCTAGTGTTTTGTGAGAGATTGCTGTCCTGTATAAAATCCAGATATATATGCACCTGTTCTGGTAGAATTATGGACCTGGGCAGTGGGCATGAATCATGATAGATACTTTATTCGCAGTATATTATATTGGATAGTTCTTCTTTATTCACAGTATATTATATTGGATATAGTTATCTTTTTTTGCAAGAGCATTTCCAGTTTCGAATTTGTTTTGCATATTGAGCTATAATGTGTGGTTTTTTTGGGCCTGTTTATATGGTATGGGCCTAAGCACCTTGGTTATCCAAAAATAAAAAAGACAAAAATAAAAAATAAAAAATAAAAAGTTAGAGCAGCTTGTGCTTCGGAGGCTCAGCCTATCTCAACTCTCATCTGTGAATTTCCAGGCACAAGCTCCCTTCATATATTTCCCGCCACCAAAACATTTTCTCTCGTCAAAGAAAATCTAGCAGAGAAAAGAAAGTAACCATGAAATCTTTGTATCCAACTAGACCAATTACAGCCGTTCCAAAGTATAATTCTACCTCTTACACCAAAATTTCTGCTATCACCAATGTTGCTACGCCGACGCTCAATTTCTGGGTTTCATCACCACATCCAATTCGCTCACCGAATGATTTTCCCAAGCCACACCCACACACTGCTCTAAGATCTCAGTCTTCTTCAAACCCACAAAGCAACGAGCAAGAGAACGATGAAGTGGAAGAAGAAGACGACCCAGATGCCCAAGTCCAAGACCTTGTGGTCCCAGAGCATTGGTTGGTCCCTTCCAAGGCCTTGGAGGTACAATTTTCTCTTAATTTAGAGAAATTAAATTTCAACTGTTTTTGGATTGATTGTTTTGATTGAATGATATCTATTTATCTATCCAGGAATCAGAGTGGCTTAGGGTTACTTTGCATAAGTGGTTGGATGATGAGTATTGCCCAGAAGCCACCAATGTTGAAATCAGCAAGATTGCTGCTCAATCATACTACAAATCTTTGCTGGGAAAACAGACTGACTTGGGTGAGATTTTGCTGAAGATGGCCATAGAATTGGAATCTATTTCCTACCAGGAAAGCTTCCATGGGGCATTCTCATCCGCCAACGCAGCAGTGAATTTGATTGCCCAACGGATAGAGCAGTCCTGATTTTAACTCAAACCAGTTGATGAAGGTTTTCACTTTTCACTTTTCATTTCACCAAATTAGTAATTTATCTTGTCCTGCATTTCCTATGTAAAAGCAGTAAGTTTTCATAAATCAATCTTGCATGAAAAGGCCTTCATCTTTTGAATCAATGTCTTCTCATCTCATATGTCTTTGCATAGTGAGTCAGTGACAACTGATAATGAATGTTTAATGCACCTGATCTGGTGCAGGAAATTCCAAAGTCTTGAAAGATGTAAAACCTCCATCTACCACCAAATTATGCCCACTAACATATTTAGCATCATCTGAAGCTAGATAAAGTGCAGCATTAGCAATATCGTTGGGTTCACAATTTGTGCCTTCCAAGACGCCGGCATTCTGTGTTATTTCTATTAGACGCTGTATATCGACTCCCGGGAAAATCCGACTCATTTCTTCAAGTACAAATGGGGTTGGAATGGCAAATGGCGATATACAATTGACCCGAATTCCATGCTTGCTTAGCTCTGCAGCCACAGACTTAACAATGCCTATGACAGCAAACTTGGATACTGAATAGGTGTGCTGTGCGAGTCCTCCCATTAGTCCTGTGACGCTGGCTGTGCATAGAATGGAGCCTGTTTTGCGCGGGATCATCACACGTGAAGCATGTTTCATTCCTGCAATGACTCCTCGCACGTTGATGTTCATGACACGATCGAACACTGCCAGGTCGAGGTCCACAATGCTCGGGGGAGTGTTGCAGGCTACCCCTGCATTGGCGTACATAATGTCAAGCTGGCTATGTTTAGAGATGGTGAAATCTACAGCATTGGAAATGTCGGATTCTTTTGAGACATCACAGGCGATGAAGGTCGCATTGGGACCGAGCTCATATGCTGTGACCTGGCCAAGCTGCTGTTGGATATCTGCAATGACAACTTTGGCACCATTGCTGATAAATTTGGATGCAGTTGCCTTTCCTATGCCACTTGCTGCTCCGGTGATCAGCGCCACTTTGCCTTCAAGTCTGCTTTGTCACACATAGCAAAGCAAACATGGCCCAAGTCCAAGCATCAGTTGCAGAATTAAAGAATCCAATCAACAGAAAGGGGAAGCATCTGATAAAATCTAATTAACCCCCATATCCAAGCAACAGTTGCAGAC